TGCTGAACCATTTTCCAGTTCCAATAGATCCTTTGCGACACACCATTCTTCGAAAGGATGTTATTCATCGCTCAATCCATCACTGCTCAATGCAAAAATATAGCACCGTACGTTTTGGCTGAGTTGTATCCGGTTTTTCAAAATGATCACGATCAGTATGTTAATAACATATAATTACAACACCTGTGAAAAGTTAAACTCTCTGCTTTGTATTGTGCATCGCACAGAGCAATGCAGAAAATTATCACAGCAGACCTGTGAATCAGTGGATATCAAACGGTAAACCTGAATGACTGACAGGTGTAACCGTAATGTTTAACCAGACGTTAAGCCACAAATGCGCACTAATGAGTGAGGATGCAATTGATGAACTGGAATTTGCTGTGATATTTGCTGTGTTTACATGCTTGTTTAGGGGTTTTATTTCCAGTGTGTTGTTTATTTGCATGAAAATGAGTGCAAAACAACAGTGTTTGGATGATCAGCAGAACGTTAATGAATCGTGCAAAAACAATTCAGTACCGATGTGATCAACTTGATGTGCACACTGCGCGATAACTGCGGTATTTCAGTCACTGATAATTCCTAGTATTCAATACGACAAAATGTATGTCTAGGTACGAACATACATTTATGTAGCAGGAAGATACGATTACAAATCATTACGGCTTCGAATTTTAAACTGCACCAATAAGTTATTAGAGTTGAAGATTGTTTTTTTTTTCAAAATGCGTTGACTGTTCAATGAATGAAATCCAAATGACATGAAGCTCGAGCCGAAAGGTGGCCTCAAAACGGCAACATCTAAAATAGTGGCGTTCATGATAATCCACCATGCCCTTAGCATAGATCAAACACCTGCTGACTGATTTTACACAATACGTTGGTACTCTTGATTGTTTTCGAATAGACGACTTTTACTCACGATCAGTGAGATGCATACTCCGAAGATACGAATCATTAGATTGTCATAAGCCAGCATGCCCTTTTCGGTTGTATTTCGACCTAGGGATGGCCTGAGGATTGTGCATCCAGAATACGAGTGCCTAAAATATCGCTCAGCGGTTTTGTTTCAGAACAAACACTCAGTTGATATTGGTCGCATACTGTGCAGTATTTTGTATAGGTAAAGAACTTTCGAAACAAACAGTTTCATCCATTTTGATTCACATGAATTCTATTTTTAAGGAGATCAAAACATGTTTTGAAAGTCATGTTGTTATGGTTGAAATTTTATACTTTTTCAATTCATTCGCATTTATCAAATTCCAGCAAGTTTAATTGATGTTAACATTTATGATACTGAATTATGGTTATTTTTGAATAAGTGCATTATATGTTCATAGAATTCATTCAATCACATTCACTTATCACTTCCTGAAACATTTAATAATTACAATTATCGGTGTTAAATAGACAATTCACATGCAGATCCTTCATACATTATGTGAATGTTTACAACTCACACAACCATATCCTGCAAATAGCATGTTCATAGAATTCATTCAATCACATTCACTTATCACTCACTTCCTGAAACATTTCACATATTGTAACCACACTAGAATAATATTTTACTTAATGTCAGGAATCTGAATTGATTCACAAGGCTGTTCATAAATGAACGGCCCTAACGGTCGTTTTTCAGCCATCATTTTTTTTAGAATTTGCTATTTTTAAGTCGATATTCGGCGTTTTCCAAGTGATTACCGAACAGAACAAATTCTTTTTTGATAATTTTTTGATAACTGCCATTTATTCTTTCATTTTGTTAATTGCAACTGTTAGCTGAAAAAANGTGTGTGTGTGTGTGCATCACATATGGCTAACACATGGAACAAACACTGGTTTACACGTATTTTTTAAAATTGTTATTTGTTGTAATTCATTGTTGCGATATTCACGATAGCATTAGTGTTCACTGATTTGTTGTCTATGCATTCTACTTCTTCGACTTTATTTTCGACATCAACAGTTTAACTGTTAGCACATTCAAGCAATCAGTCAGCGTGCCTCAAACGAGTTCTCAATGTGCGACGAAAATGACCAAAAATTTGGTGGTTCCCGGAATGTGTGCGAATATAGAGGAGATCAAAGAAGAGCCAAAAGTGTTGGGTTTATCCGGAGGAAACTCTGTGGCGTTCAAAGTGTTTACAATAGAGCGCAAAGCATCGGCATTAGCCACACGGAACCTGAAAATAAGAAGAGTAGTCAAAGTTTGAGTGAGAACGAAAAAAGTGAAGAGGACATTCATAATGAAGACTTGACTTCGTGGTGTGGCAGTCAAGAGATTAAAAGCGTTCAGAGTGACAATTCTTGTTATCATGGAAAAAGCGACCGATCATCGGAAGCGAGTGATCAGCGCCAGAAAGCCCAACGAGAGGGAGAACTTCAAGAGAAGCATGAATCTGAGAACGATACAAGCTCAAAAAATGAGGATCATCCTCATGATGATGAGAATGGAAAAGATGCAACCACCAATGATAGCTTTCGTCGACAGAAACTTTCGGACATCGACGCACAGCACGTTGATGAACATACTGACCAAAGCAAATCGAACCAGCTGCAGAAGGTATGCTTCAGAATCGGTAACNCATCACCATTCGCGTACATTTCTCGATTTTCTTCGTTTCAAAACAATATCCCAGTTCTCTGATGCCATCCAATTTTTATTGTGAAAATGAGGCGTCAGCTTGAAGAATGCTTATTATTAAAGAACTGTGAATAATTCAATTGAAGGTTCCAGCTGACGGCATAGTATATCTAAACTGATAAACATTTTGATAGGATTCTGGTTAAAGTCTTTGAAAAATGCTGTATCGAAACTATCCGATGCCCCTGAAATTTCCATTGAAAGATGCAATAATTTTTTGCACTTTCTCCTCATAGCACTTTTTAGTCACAATGGAGGACATGCAAGTTGAACAATTTCTAAACCTATCAGAAAACCCTCTTTATATTCCTCTCTCCACTAAATACTTGAAATAGTATTCGTGTTTACTAGACGGAAGTGAATTTCGATGTGAATTGCTGTTATTATTAATCATTTGCAGAAGATGCAAAGAACCAATTAAACTATTCGTCAGAATCTTTATGTGTTGCTCATTTTAAGCTAATCATCACTGACTAATATAAAGTCTAACGAATCTAAGCTCGCATTCCTAAAAACTGAATTTTTTTTGGTTCTTTACGTTGGACAGTAAAAAAACAATAATATTTAGCAAGCTGTTCGATTTGGTATCGAAATGGAGATTGATCAGTCGAAATGTAAATGTGTTCAAAGTGCAGGTGGTAAGCAATTCAATCATCTTGTTCAAATTGATCCTTATACTATCGGAATGGCAGAATTTAATGGTCTGAATCAAGATAAGGAGGAATGAAATTACCAGTCTCGGATGAATAAAAACCAACTGCACTTATCGATCGTTTCGTTAACTGCTTTCACGTTTTTTCATCCTATGTTTTCGTTACTGAGCAGAAAATATGAAAGTTGTCCTTAATTCCTTCATACATACCTTAAGAATTTAAAATGAAAACCTGAAGTTCAGTTAATTTCCAAAAAAAAGCATTTCATCTGGAATTCACAATAAGCAAAATTGAAAATGATACGATAAAATGACAGTTCGATATGAAACAACATTGAAAACTGAAAAATAGTTTCAATCAAACAGCTGGAAAATCGGGCGCATTTCGTGTCGCTTTATCGGTGTGTTCATTGCTGATACATTTTATCGTCGGCACGATTGGTTTATATGAATGTCCAATGGATGCGAATATTGCACGATTCGTGTTGGCTCGAAGTTCATTGATTATTGTTGACCTTATCTATCTAGCAGGATTCGCCTTCCTCGCCAACCCATCGAAACGATTGGCACATATTCCCGAAATTCGTCATGCTGGTTCATTCGTTTTATCGATTGCAGGTGAGGTAGTGCCATTTGCTCATTGAAATGTAACATCTATTCTATGAACCGTACATCGACAGAAACCTTTCGGAAAGCTTGTGATGAAGAGGCAGTCAATTTGATTCTTCGCTTACATTGCCGCAGCGTGTAGAAAGACAAATGTTCTGCATTATTCAAACCTAATTGATACTAGAAAAAATCTGGTTATCAAATTGAATAGATAGCAATTTTATTACTTCTCTTTGGCTACAATAACCAATTCCCTGAATTTCTATTAAAACAACTAAAATTGGTATCCATACTCCTTTCTGAGGTGTCAATGTAACCGATCCGTAAATGTAGCCGCCGGATCTCATGCGACTTTTTCAATTTCTCAGTTACTCATTGACTCTATCATCGTTACAAGCGGTTGTTGTCAAACGAATTTGCACCGCAACAACAGCGTTTCATCAATGAAGCATTGAATTCAGGTGCGATCTGTGTATATCCGTATTATGTGCGAGTGCAACACAGCGATAAAAAGTTACGAATGTATTGCAGTGCGATATGCTATTGGTTCGCGTTCGGTGCTGCTACGGCCGATCTAGTCTTTTTTGCTGTTTTGAATGTTATTTGTTGTTGCTCAGTGCTTACATCTTTGCATATTTCTTGTCGAAACGACTCGAATCAACCAACGTCTGAGAACGTTTGATGGTAGTTGATAGTGA